CAATAACGTCACACACCCTAGGACCATTGAAAATACAGACTGCCCTGCGCACTAGTGAACACACACCGGGGGTGGCACATGGCTTCTAGGGAGCTCTGAACCGGGAAACCACAGCACCATGCCGGGCGAGCCGGGAAAAGGGGTGACTGTTGCTGGGGTGGTGTAGAACCTGTGTGCGGTGGGAGGGGCTAGCTGCCCCAGGACGATCCCGGCTGATGCTCGCTACACTCCTGGGCAGCAGCGGCCGCGCTGCTGTTTTTAGCACGCTGGCTCGCTCAGCGCTCGTGCCAGTACGGCTCCTGGAGCGCAGCGCAGACACCCCCACTTGGCCCAAAGGAGACCAGCAGCAGCTCCACCTGCTACCTGCCAGTCGCCTCGTGGGTGTCCACACAGCGCCCTCGCGCGGACAGAGCCTGGGTGTGACGCGGGCAGTGCCGTATTATTGCCTAGGCCTAGGGCGGCAAATTTGCAGGGGCGGAAGCTCCCCTCCGCGCCCCGCCCCCCTGCTCCAGCTCACCTCCGCCTCCTCTGCAAGCGCGCCGCCGCGTCCTGTTTCTCTCCCCTCCCAGGGCTTGCGCCGCAAAACAGCTGTTTCGCGGGGCAGGGAGGGAGGGGGAACGCCGCGCGCTGGGGGAAGAGGCGGGGCCAGGGACGGGGATTTGGGGAAGGGATCCAATAGGTGTAGGGAGGGGGCGGAGTTGGGGCAGGGACTTTGGGGAGGGGTTTGGAATGGGGGCGGGGAAAGGGTGGAGTCAGGGCGGGGCCAGGGCGTCATTTATTTCCCGGCCTAGGGGCAGCAAAATTATTGATCCACCACTGGAAGTGGGGCTGCAAAGCTTCCCTCTGCCCCAAAGGCCACCAATTCCCCTTGCCCCCCGGCCGTCTCCCGCATGGCCTGCGGACCCAGGCAGGGCTCTGTGAGGCTAACGGGACCAGGCGTTCAGGAGACTGGAGAGGGTGGAAAACAAGATCTCCTCACCGTGCCTCTATCTTGTAATGTCTGACAAGTGGTTTGGCCTGGAAACGTCGCAGCCGCTTTAGTCATTTGTCCTCGGGCCTTTGTGGAGTCTGTTTGTGAAAGGCTGGGTGGGGAGTTCTGGAGCCATTCGCTGCAGCTCTTTGAGCGCTCCCGCCTGGCCTGCACGGGGTGAAGCCTGGGGACAGCGGAGAACCCTGAGAGCTCCCGCAGTCCCGCACGCACAGCAAACGTCACGCGCCGTCAGACCGGAGGGCAGCACTTCGCCCCCTTTGCACAAGGTGCAGAGCCGCAGCGGATCAGCCCCTTTGTCGGTGGCCCAGTTGGCGTGGAGACAGACAAGCTGACGCGGTCTAACTGGCAGTCCCAGGACTGTCCCCCAGCAAAGTCACGCAGGGAGTCGGGGCAGAGCAGGGATTGGAAGGCTACCACGCTGCGTTCTGAGCCCCAGCCGTGAACGGGGGAGAAGAGCAATCCTCCACTGGGATGCTAGGGGGCGCTGTGCTGGTGAAGGTGCCATTTTTCAGAGAAGGTGTAAAAAAGAATTCCCGACCCCTCATCATTAAAGAGCCTCTAGTGGTTTTTTCCCCCATGAGTAGGAGCAGTTAGCCCCAGTGCCTGGACCAGGCATAGGTAATTTACCGCCCCCCCCAACCCCCCCCCGCTTCCATAAAATCCCCCCGCAGGTTCATAAGAACGGCCAGACTGGGTCAGACCAAAGGTCCATCTAGCCCAGTATCCTGTCCTCTGACAGCGGCCAATGCCAGGTGCCCCAGAGGGAGTGAACCCAACAGGTAATGATCAAGTGATTTCTCTCCTGCCATCCATCTCCATCCTCTGACAGACAGAGTCTAGGGACACCATTCCTTACCCGTCCTGGCTAATAGCCATTAATGGACTTAACCTCCATGAATTTGTCCAGTTCTCTTTTAAACCCTGTTCTAGTCTCTTTTAAACGCTGTTCAGCTGGGAATGGATGATTCCCCATTCCGTGCTCCACTTGGACACTTTGATTTGCTGATGGGAAAACCCCATTTCCATTCCCGGAAGAGTCTGATGTGTCCACATTGGTTTTCATTCTGGACGGGGATGAGACGTCAAAATAGCGACGTTTTCCCTGGCCTGGAGAATTCCAGAGCGTTGCAATTCGACATTTCCGATTGAAACGGAGCATTCCGACATTCCAGAACCGGCCGTTGGGTTTCCATTTGTCCCCAGGGCTGAGCCACTAGGATGCCTCAGGGGACTCCCAGGGTGCACTGCGGCAGCTCTGCCAGAGGCTGAGACCACAGTGCATCATGGGAAATGTAGTCCAGCGGGGAGCAGCGGGGATCTGACCCAAAATGTGTCCTTTCTCCCACTGGAAGATTCCACCAAAACTGATCTTTTCCTGAGGAAAAAATTGATTTTGACGAAACACCATTTTCTGACAGGAAAATGTTTCGTTTGGAATATTTCACCCAGCCCGGACAGCTGCCCTGTCCCCACTCAGCCGTGGCTCCATTTCTGTGGCACTTGACAGGATGTACCACACTCAGGCCTGATCTACACTAAAAAGTTCGGTTGACCCAGCTACATCGCTTGGGAGGGGAGGGGGTGAAAACTCCACGCCCCAGAGTGAGAGAGTGAGCCTGCCTGAACCCCCAGTGTAGACAGCACCAGGCTCCGGGAGGATTCTCGGGAAGGCAGAGTAACTCCAGCAATGGGAGAACCCTCCCGTCGGCGTCGGTAGCGTCTACACTGGAGCGCTCAGACACCCAGTCTCCCTCACACGCCCAGTGCTGCTGCTCCACTAGTTGGGGCATACGGGTGGCGATGGCTGAGCTCGCCGGGCTGTCCCAGGGCTCTAGGGCGCTTGGCCTGGCACAGACACAAGCCTCACACTAGCCGTGCAGCGCACGGGGACGATCTGTGCAGTCAGAACGGCTGAGAACCCAGAGGTGGCCGGTAACAGGCCGGGAAGGCCAGGGCCGATTCGGCCTGGGGAGGCTCTGCACACAGAGCGCTCTCCGCCATGCCTGGAGCTGCTTCCCTCGCTTCACGCCTGGCTCAGCGGACACCCTCAGCTTCAGGGTGACACAGAGACAGGCGCCAGCCCTGGGATCTTACTGTCTAGCCCCACTCGCGCTTTCTACGGTCTCACACAGCTGGGTGAGTGTCACTGTCCTTAGCTGGGGAAACAAAGAGGGAGGGGACTGGCCTCCCAACCCGCACGCTGAGCCTGCCAGGTGACAGCTGCCCCCTCTGCTCCTAGCCCTAGCCCCATTTTACAGGGGGGAAATGGAGGCACGGGGGGGAAGGGACTCTGCCAAGCTCAGTGGCAGGGAGAGGAGTAGAAACCAGGCTGTCTGGCCCCTGTCCTGTCCCCTCAGGCGTGCGATCTCCCCCAGGGAGCCTGTAGGTACAGGAACGGATGCTCTTACTTACCCCCTCTCTCGCCCTGGTGCAGGCGAGACTCAGAGCAGGCTCCTGATGAAGAGATTCGTCCCCCCAAGAGGAAGGAAATCGAGTCAGGCTGGACTCCCCGCTTGTGAAGGCGAAGCTTGTGGTGGTGGAGGAAAGTGTCCAAGCAGGGACCCCGGAGCCCTCCATGGAGTCACAGGCCAGGTATGGTAACAGCGGGTGCTTCCTCCAAGCACCCCGATACATCCCGCTGCGGCCTTGCGGGAACACCTCCCAGGCCAGTGCCAGCCCAGTCCGTCTGGGCCTAAGACCCCAGCAGGTTTCACGGGGAGCCACCCCACAGCCATCAGAGAGGCCTGGCTTTGGCCACGGCTGCCCAGGGCTCCATGGAGGCTGATGGCCTTTGGGATTCAGCTGGGTTTGAACAGCCTGAGTACCGGGGGGGGGAGAGGGGGGGACATGTGCAGGAGCCCGCGCAGTGGCTGGCTCTGCCTGAGGCGCATTTAGGGCGTGGCTCCCTGGTATCCCTCTCAAGCGCCCCCTCGGGGGCGACACGCCTAGCGGCCCAGGAGCAGCCGGCTCCAGCGGGAAGGCGGGCGGCAGCACTGGGGGCAGTAAAGGGGATCCGTGGGGGCACGTGATGCCCTCGCCCTGTTGCTCACTGATGCTCCACTTACCTCCTTTGCAGGGTTCGCTCTGGCACGGAGCAGAGAGAGGGCTGGGGCCCGATGGCTCCCCAGGACGATGAGACATCCCGGCTGCTCCCTGGCCTGGCTTGCTCCTAGCACCGAGCGGCTGAGGAAGCGGCGTGGGAGAGCGGCTCCTCCAACCAAAAGGAAACGCGAGCCCCACAGCACCCTGCTCAGGCTCCGGCACTGCTAACTCCTGGCTCATGTTCCCTCCTTCCTCGTGTAGCGCCTCCTGTGGCCAGAACAGGCGTGTGGCCCAGGAATGCTGGGCGGGGAGGACGGAGCCAGGCCTCTGCAGGGCAGCATGGGTGTGCACACGAGGCAGCGAGAGACCTCAGCAGGCGTCTGTCTGCCCGGCGCACCGGAGCCGCCCACGCTCCCCAGCAGGGCTGTGTGTGGCACAGAGAGGGGCTTGGCCAGCGCCCAGATGTGGGACCATGCGATGAGGTGGAAGGATAGACAGATGCTGGGCTGTGGGGAGACGTCCCTCCCTGCCTGGAACTGGCTCCGTGCTCTCTGCCAGCCCCCGGAGGACAGGGTGCTGTGGGAACACCCCATCTACTGGGTCTCAAGGACCAAAATGTCACTGACTTTAAGGCCAGCGCTTCCACAGCCTGTGTGCACCCCAGAGCTGGACCAGCGGCCGCCCCAGTGCGGAGTACAGAGATCACGTCCCTCCTACTGCTGCTAAGGCCCTGTTCGTACAGCCCAGCATCTCATGAACCCTTTAAGCCACAGCACGGCAGTGAGAATAACGTGGGCAGACAGGATTAGCTCGGGGGACCTGGGTGTTTGCTCCCCTTCCCGAGAAGTAACATCCTGAGCCAGACACCTCACCCCATACACTCCCTGTATCCCCCCCCCCGTACCAGCAACCAAGGGGAGAGACGAGAGCCCCATTGCTGGGACACGTATGACTGCACACAGCCTGGAGAACAGACTGCCAGGGACATGCTGTGTTGGGGGGAGAGCTGGTGAAGTCCCCTCTGTCCCCTCTGACACCCAGAGCAGGGACTGGAACCCCGGCCTCGCCAGTCCCAGTGTAACCACTAGACCCTCCTTCCAGCCCAGCAAAATGTCTCCTCTCTAGTCTAATGGTGCCTCTGCCAGGGTCCCACACAGAGCTGGTCAGTGGGTGTGTGTCCCCCCTCCACACACACGCCCCGTCCCCTGCACACCCCCGCTACCCACAGGCTGGCAAGATCCTGCCAAGTTCTCACTTGCTAGCTCAAAGTTGGATGCCAAGCAGATTAAAAACACCAGCTCCAATACAACTGTGTTTCCCCTCCTGGAAGCAGATGCCTGGCAGGCATCCGCCAGCCCAGCGCAGGCCTGGCTTCCATCGGAGCTGTGAGTGCCAGCACTTGGCACCCCAGATGGGCCTCTGCCAGCAGATGGCTTTGCCGGACCAATGTCACATCACTGCCCTTGAATGCATCCATCAGCTTGTCCCCCGCCTGCGATCGAGCGCTACGCAAAGCCTCCCACCGCCTGGGAGCGCCCCCGGGGGCTGGCGTTCTCCGAGGGGCTGATGTCTCAGAGCCAAGCTGTGCAATGAACAGCAGGGAACAGGGAGCTCTGGGTTACTCAGCCGGACACGTTGGCGGAGGCAGCTTGCTTCAGTGCAGCCTAGCATGAAAACCGGCCCGAGGCCGCCGTGCGGTCCAGGCAAAGCAACGTGACTCATGAGCCCCAGAGGGGAAGAAGAGCTGGCGCGATCTCCGTCTGCGGGCTGGCGAGATGCTCAAGTGGAAAAGATTGCCCTGGGCGGGCAGTTCTCTGCTCGGGAACTTGGCGGGGGAAGACGCCACTGGAGCAGAGCTCAAAGCCCACACCAGTCCATGTGCAGCCGCTCAGATGAGGGGAGAAAACCTGGCGCTAGCCAAGCTCCCGTGGTTTACCTCTTCCCGGCTCGGGCTTTACCATGCAGCCATCGTCCTACGAGCCCACGGGGCCAACGGGCTTCTAGGCCAGTTGCAGCCTGGGTAAGTCGGAGCCGCTCATGGGGAAGTCACTGGGCCAAATTCAGCAGATTCATGTTCATGTCAGGTCAGATTCTGAGCGCCCTCCTGCCAGCGGAACTCAGGGACAACGCCATCAAAGCCGAGGGAGCTGTCCTACTGCCCAGCTGGTGGGTGCTGGCCCCGCTGGGCCTGATTCGGATTTCAGTGACACCAGCACACATCTGGAGTAACTCCAGGGACGTCAATGGGCCAGATCCTCTGTTGGTGCGGATATGACTCTCTTGCCTGCAGCGGAGCTATGCCCGTTTACACCAACAGGCGATCTAGAGTGACTCTGGATTTACACCAGCGTCACTGAGATCACAGTCTGTCCCAGCCAAGAAATCAAGCTCAGATGGCCCGATTCACCACTGCAACACTCTGGTTTGACACGCGGCTGGGATCAACCAAATACCGCTGGGAAACCAAGCCCAGAATTCCCCCCCTTTGTACAGGTGCCAGAACCAGAACCAGAGGCAGTGACAGTGCTAAAGGGGGTCGTCCCCACTCCCGAGAGAGTCCATGGCAACTGCTGATTTCATGGGGCCTGAGATCTGGTGAAGGGAGGGTAACTTCCATGCTGAGGGGGGGTGAAAGACAGCTAGCAGCCCCCCCGTCGACCCACCCACGTGCACCAGTACACGCCCGCTGCTCTGCAGCGCTGCAGGAGACACACACACAGCTGCTGTACATCCACTGGTGCGCTTGGCTTATGCTCACACCCTCCCCAATGCACTAGGGACAAGTCCAGCCTTGAGGTGCCCCTCCCTTTGACGCCAATGGGCATTGCACGTGCTAAATTCGGTCCCTCGGCAGGTACCCCCTCCGCCCCCGTACCCAATGGCAAACTGACTCCAATGCTCAGCCACTTACACCCAGTTTGGCCCCCAGGGCTTTGATCCTGAGAGCCACTTGCTAACTGTGTGTTACGTTCACACACACACACACGTCCACTAGTGCCTGGCCAATGTGAAGAATAACAGCTGACTGTTGCTACACGCTAATGGGGCTGCCGGCGTTGGTCAGCTTTGTCCCCGGGGCTCTAGGCACCAGGCTGCGCCCCTGCGCGGGCCAGGCCCAAAGCATGACTGTGGACCTGACATTACCTCTCTGCCGGCTCTGGGCCCTTGAACATCGCTGAAGAGGCTGGTTCTCTCCTCACTTACCCTGTGCGCCCGCCAGCCCGTTGATCTCTCTGCTCTAGGCGGCTGCAAGAGAGAGGTGGGCCAGGTGCTCGGGGGCAGCTGGACAAAGGTTTCAGCACCGAAGGAGCAGGAGAGGCACCTAGAGGGATTTTCAGAAGCACCTGGGTGCCTAACTCCCATGGGAGGTGAAAAGACCAACAGGCGCCTTTGTGCACCTAAATCCCTTTGTCCATCTGGCCCCGAGCGGTTTCCTCCTTAGCCCTACGTTTAGAGCTGCCTGAATTATCCATTGCAAACAATTCCCACCCCCCAGTTTGGAACGGCGCCCACCTCAGAAGTGCTTTGCCGCCACGTTTAGCGGCGGGATGTGGCTGATCAGATCACCCGTTGGATAAACGTTCTCCATCCATGACAGAGACAGGTGTTCATTCTTCAGTGCAATCCGATTGGCTGTCACCTATCCGCACGGGATTTCTGTCCCCCGCCCACGCTGCTGTGTGCGTGCAGCCTGGTTGCTGCTCAGGGCAGGGACTTTACTCTGGTCTTGGCCCTCGTGTGCTGGAAATCCCTGTGACCGGTTACGGTGCTGCCAATAATCCGGCGTGAGGACCAGCCCTTTCTTGGTGTCCCCCGGCTTCGCCCCCTGCCTTGGCAGCATGTTGGCGAGCCGCAGCGCAGCCGGCAGCACTCACGAAGCACCGGGGCACCCGCCAGATGGCAAACAACTGCAGCAGGCCCTGCCAGAGCTGCACCCGCGAAGGGAATCCCGGCTTGTCATGCTGGACTGGCCCTCAGCGAGGGACGGCCACGTGCCCCCTCGCCCCGCGGCAGACGGGTTGTGCCTGGATCCCGGGCGGTGAGGGAGCAGAGCATGGGCACCCGCTGGGTTTGATCTGATCTCACTGCAGGCCTCAACCAAGGCCTGGTGACATCAGTAGGGACTTGCCGTGACTTCCGTGGGCTTTGCCTCAGGCCCGCAGCCAGCAGCTGGGGCGGGGTTATACCGGTGCGGCGTGAATCACAATCAGGTTCCTGTTGCCCAGGCCGTAGCAGGCCTGGCTGGAGGAATGGGGCTGATGCCAACGCCCGTCCATGGGTAGAGGGCAGTGCTTAGCTGCCAGGTGGTTGTCCTAAAGGAGCAAGTATTCAGCGAAGGATGTGTGGGCCCTGATTCAGCCAGGTGCATGTCACTCCAAGCCCGGGGCCTTCGTCAGCCTCGGGTATCACAACCGCCCACTCGCTCGTCGACCCTCGGGCCCCCAGAGCTGGACCAGGAGCTGCTACGGCTCCCGCTGTGCCACGGAGACACCTCCCTAGCAGCTGTGCCAAGCCACCTCCTGTGTGGCTCAGGCACCCAGAGCCCCGAGCGGCGGGTTACCCAGCCCAAAGGCTGCCCCACTCCGCGGGCTGCGGGTGCAGGGGGGCTCAGGGGACGTCACCATCAGGCCACGTCTACACCACCACCCCAACCATGGCTCCGGGTGCGGGTCGGAGCGCTCTCGCCTGCAGGAGGGAGTGACCGGTAGAGACCGAGGGGCAGCAGAATGGAGGAGAGGCCGGAGGAGCTGTGCTAATCTGGGCCAAGCTGAGAACCTGCGCCCACGGGCTGGGCCGGTAGGAGCTGGGCTGAGCTGCTCTGGGCAGTGGATCCTGCCACCCTGGGCCGGGTCAGTCTGGGCGGGCGGTCAGGCCAGGCCAGGTGGGGCCGTGCTGGGCTGGGCTGGGCCGGGCCGGGGCGGAGACCCACTCTGCAGAGCTCACCCCTTGTGCCTTTCCCTTCCCAGGGGAGGGCGACGCGTTCGGGGGCTGGTGCTGCTGCGGCAGCCGGAGGTGAAGGCGTAGCTGGGGCAGGCCGTCCGGATGGCAGGATGGGGAGGGGAGCTTGCGACTCCCGTGCAGCTTTCAGATCCCCCTGTCTGGCCCTAGCTCAGCCAGGCCAGGGGAAGGGGGCCGGACTGACAGCCTGGGGACATCCCAGGCCGGAGAGAGCGGGAGATGGGCGAGGACCAAGGGAAACCCAAATGCTCTGTAGCCAGCAGACTGGGCTCTGGCTAGTCAGGAGTCACAGCCACCAGGACTGGGCCCTTCCCCGGGTGGGTGAACCTCCAGCCAGTGCCATGCTGCCACGCAGGGGGATTCCTTCCTGACCTCCGCTGTGCATCGCTTCCCAGCCTGAAGCTTGCGGGTTGAGAGCCCTAGACTGAGTGCACAGGCGACGCTCCCAGGCCCAGGCAGGAAAGTCACGAGTCTCCTGGGGATTTGGCTGGGGGGAGGAATACACCCTTGCGGTGCGCTTGGCCACGTCCTGGTACAAGTGCCAGGTGTTGCACGTACCCCACTCTTTCATGGGAGCAGAACGGGGCGGGGAGTGTCCGTTACATGGGGTGGCTGATCAGTTTGCTGCCTTTTTGCCATCTGGTA